GAAAGAAGTAAATCAAATAAGGATGATGAGAAATGAAAAGACTCAGTTTTTCTGATTTCTGATAAGGGGAAAAATCAGAAACAAAATAAAGGATCATAACAAAACAATACAGAATCTAATATCAACATCAAATCCCAATCCCTTGGATCGGAAAGAAATAATCTAAGGAGAATGCAGAGAAAAAGAACAAACCCTAGGTTTATGGAAGTTGAATATGCGCTCTCATTTCTCCTTGCGCAGATTGTTTACATTCTGAGAGATTAGAGATCTACGTAAACAAATTTCTTCATGAAATAACACGTAAACAAATTCAAAAAACAGCGTAAACTTGCATGCCATACAACATTACATTCAGAAATCAGGGACTATACACACACTGACACACATGAATTCGTTATCAAAATAGCAAAATTCCAACATACTACGGTTGATTCCGAAAAAAATTAAACATAACGAGGATGAACGAATACGAACAAACCTAGTTCTGTGAGAGATCAATAACCGCTTGGGTTTCTCCTTATGAAGACTGTTTGCAGATAAGATTATACAGATCTCGATTTATTCATTCATTGCGGCAAATAGCTTCTCCCCATTTGCACCTTAACCAGAGCATAAGAACAGTTGCCACTACAATTCTGTTTCTCTTTCTAGAGACGACGATAGTCCATACGTTCTACTACTGCCCCCTGTAGTTTAATATATTTTCATTTTCATCATCCTAAGTTTTCTTTTTGTTTACATTCTTCCGTTAACCTTTTTGCTTCTTCCACATAAAAAATAAAAATAAAAATAAAACAAAATAAAAAAAACAGTTTATAATAATCAACTTTTTATATGTAAAAAACACCACTCTTTAGGAAATTGAAAAATGGTTAAATATTATTACAAGATGATAATATTTCATTCTTTTTTATATATGTGTATATAAAAATTATTTTAACAAATGGTTTTCTCTAATTTACCAAATACCAAATGAAAATGTGGCCTTGTGTTTTGAAAATAAAAGAAAAGTATAGGGAGGGTTAGTGTAAATATTTTAATTTATTGGTTGAGAAATTCTTAAACCGAATTTAATGTTTGATCATGAGAGAAAAGGCATACACGTGTAATATCTTTTTTTTTGCATATTTTCCTTTTATAATACAAGCGGCAGAAATGGTAGCCTTTCTTTTAGCGAAGAACAATTCTAATTTTTCTTAAAAAAATGTATTTTGTTTTAAGTTCCAAAAAAAAGTGAATAAATTTGACAAATATAACTTTAATTAAAGAATTAGAAATCATTAGAATCGACATTCGACAATATAGTAAAAATATAACCAGATCACACTAAAATCAATTTGTTTTTGTATAAGATATTTTCTAAAAACCTATTAGCATAAAATATTTACTTTATTTATCTTATTCTTTGCAATCTTGTAAAAGATTACAAGAATAAGCTAAATACAATAAAAATGTTATGCTAATTAAAACCGGTTCTCGGTTCGATCCAGATCACCGTTAACATCCAGAAACCAAAACGTGGCCAAATTGAAACAGAAATGTTTAATAATGGTATAAAGTGAAACTTCAAAATATATGTGTAGGAGGTGAATATCTCGTACATCCCTCAAATATGAGGGACCAGCTTTGAAAATATTCCCCAAATCCGCGATAGCGAAGGCCATGGGCTCTGCAAAATCAACAATTTTCGAAAATGTATTTTGGCCATTTGCCCCAAGACTACAAGAAAAAGAATGTTTTTGAGATTTTACATGTTCTAGAAACTATCATAGTTCTCTTTAATAATTTGTAAATCTTTTACTTCATGGAGCTATCATTTATTGAAAGAAACATTTATTAATGGCTACTTTTTGAGGTGTCTGGGATTGCTTTTTGAACTCCAAAAGTACTTTTGGACAAAAGTGTTTGTTGACTCGTAGTAGTGACAAAAAATGTTTTGAAAAAAATGTTTGGATTGGTTTTTATCGTGTCAATAAGTTTTATAATTGTAAAATGAATAAAAATGGCATGGAAAGAAATGAGAGAAGAAAAGAGAGTGAGAGAGTTCATTAAGGGTAATATTGTCATTTTCAGTTCAAAAAGCCATAAGATTCACCAACTTTTGGAAACCTTCATTTTAAAACACGTCAAATAGTTGTTTTGAAAAGCACTTATGCAACGGTCAAACACTTTTTTAAACTTATTTGTTTTTTGAAAAACCAATAAGTTATTAAACTATTTTAAAAAGCAATTCCAAACACCTAGAGTACTCAAAAAGGGAGGGAGATTCCTTTGCCTTGAACTCAGCTATGTTGAAGCTCCAGTTTTCAAGCAATTGTTGATATTCTTTGAACTCACACTTGAGTGCTTGCAAAATATAACAATGTACTCTCATTCATTTGTTATTATAGCATTCTACTTTAAGTTTCTTTCTTTATAACATTATACTTTAAAAAACTACCAATTACAGCAATGCCATCCAAATGCAAATCGATTTTCACTATATTTTTCAAAATATAATGTCAAAATAAGTAAAAAATAAAAAGTACAATGGCTAAATAAAAAAAGTACAATCCCATGGTTTGGGGTAATTTGCGTGTTTGGTCCCTAACTTATTTTTTTAACTCAGAAGGTCCCTACTGTTTGTTTTTATTACGCGTTTGGTCTCTACTGTTTGTTTTGGTTATGCGCTTGGTCATTGTCTTACCTAAAAAGACTATTATTTAAATAGGAAAAAATGGTGGGGTACGTAAGGTAAGGTGAGGGGGTGGGGTTAGGGGTGTGTTTATTTAAATAAATTAAAAAAACAATGTCAAAATAGTCTTTTTAGGTAAGACAGAGACCAAGTGTGTAACAAAAACAAATAGTATGGACCTTCCGAGTTAAAAAAATAAGTTAGAGACCAAACGCACAAATTACCCTAAACCATAGGGACCATTCGTGTAATTTACTCTAAAAAAAATAGAAAGAAACCGAAGTAGGATACTATAATACACATATAAATAAAAGTAAGTTGATATTTTTTACATTACCCCCTTTTATGAATCGTCAATCGTGGTCAGGTATCTTTTGTGGTTTGACTTAAAAACATCTTTAATGTTGACCTGAGCTGACCTTGATGAAAACAAAACACAAAAATATTTCAAAGATTGTTGTAATTGTAATTTCCAGGAGATGTTTGTTTTATTTATTATTATTATTATTATTATTATTATTATTATTATTATTATTATTATTATTTTTGGAAAGGGAACTTCCCTAACGAGGGTTTCCGGGCCAGCTTTCGCGCACCGACTAATCCTCCGTTGCAAACATAAGACTTTGCCTCATGCCCTAGAGTCACTGCAGACAAACCTCCATGCAGGGGCGGAACACGGGCATTGAAACTAGGGGAGCCGACACAAACACTGTTAAAAACGGGTTATACAACATCGTTAAAATGGGTAAGACAACCTAGTTTTGCAACCGGGTCTTATAGTTATTCAGATTGAATAAATGATTTAGGTAGTCATATTAAAGAATTAATAAGGGTTTTAGCCAAACTACCGGTGATCAAGTGGTCTATCATATTTTGCGGATTCAGTTATTTCCTCCAATGAATTATATCAACACTTAATACAAGTAAAATAATCAAAATGATAACATAATAATTTTGTAAATAGTACAAAATTAACTAATAACTGATGAGAAGTTAACATGTAAGATATACATTAATACATCTCTAACAAATAAAACTATCTTAATTTTTATTTGAATCTTCGTAATATGCATTTTTGAATTGCATCCATCGTAGGGCTGAAAGATAACTGACATATAAAACCAATCCTATTCTATATAAGCCACATATTATAAGTTAAAAAACCAGGGGGGCCATGGCCCCCCTAGCCCCTTCATAGTTCCGCCCATGCCTCCATGGCCACAAGGGCTGAGTAGTGTCGGCATTTGAACATGGGTCAATAGGTTATCCACAATATCTTCCACATATCTTACCAATACACCACAACCCAAGTGGTTGAGATGTTTGCTTTAATGATTCGGGATGATGGATTTCAAAAAGTTGAGTATGAGAGTCTTGTGGGAGGAGTGGTGGCAATCCATTTTGGGTTGAAACTTTGGATGCTTGCGGACTTTTTATTAAACTTTAATACAGATACAGAAGTTCGATGAATATCATAGGAAACATAAGGTTGATTCTATTAATGTCTTGTATAAATATGAAACTCTTTAAAAACATGGTTTACAATAAAAGTGATTTTAAAATTAGTTAATTACTTAATTTATATACAAGTAAACTATTGGATACATATTTAAATAAAATATCCCTTGAAAATTGAATTCTTTATTTCAATATATTCAATTCAATTCTTATATTATATTAGGATCCAAAGATCTTAATAACCCAATGTAATCTCATCTCTTTAGTATTTATTCTATTGTCACGTCTTTATTCTACTAAACTTAGAAAATTCATCATTTCTACTACTAAAAAAGTCCATTCAACTTGAAATTGAGTATAATAGATTGCAAGAAGCCTCATAGAGAATCATAGCTTCACCCAAGCTCTGTTTTATTCCGTGTAGTGTCTCGTTAACCCATTTAATTTTCGTATAGGTTTACATAAATATTATTTAACATAATTTGTAAATATTTCCCCCAAGTTTTTCTAGACATCTTCAAATACTCATCCATTGAGTTGGCAACTTTGTTGTATGCTATCTGACAGAGCGCCGATGTACAATTTTGTAATGGAGTAAAGCCCTTTCTACCTCTCGCATCCCATCCTAACCTAAAAAATGGCACCTCTCTCTCCAAATCATTTACCATCTGCATGAAGAGTTTGCTCATCGAGAACCATTGTCTAAACATTTTAGCATCGTATATGGCTTCATCACCAAAAGTAGTACCACACAAGTAAATATGTACAAAACATATGTATATACACTTAGCATGTTGTACAACACTAGCTTTTATATATATATATATATATATATATATATATATATATATATATATATATATATATACTCCTTGGGTCAGCACGTCATTGTTCTGTATATAGAAGAGTTTGGCAGTCCCTCTTTTGGCTTCCATATGATATGGTCGAGTTTACCACAGAAATCCTTATAGAACTGACATACATAGATAAACGCCGATAAAAATAATCATTACAATTTTCAAAACACAACACAACTTTTGTGTAAAGAGAAGGATGAAGTTTGTGTTTCTTGCCTTATGGTATTCGAGAGTATCTCCAGCAGCCTTTCGAACATCCACCATGAAAAGAGATGTTGCCACTTCATACACCTTAATTAATAATTATATATGAAATTTGTAACCCACTTTTCCAACACCAAACAAAAAAAAAAGGGGGGGGGGGGGGTAAAATGTAAAATAGAATGATAGTCAAGAATTATACCTCCAAAACAACAGCAAACTGTCCAGCACGATTCACGGATGCACCCTCGAGTCTAGTCTGTGGAACATTACATAACAATTTTGGAATCTAGTTTGAAAAATTTAAGAATTTTGTTTCTTTTAAAATGTACCTTGTAGCCACGTCTAATGACCTTAAAACCCAACAATTCTGCAACTGCTGTGATTGCTGAAATGATATCTTTAGCAGGCTTACGGGATACAAAACGAGTTTGTCGTCTTACATGATCCTATTTTGGTCTTTATTGTGATCATTATCCCTACATATGATATAAACATAAAAATCAAACAGAAAGTTTTAAATATACCTGACGCCTATCAAATAAGGCAGATAGATTCAGTCCTTGAGAGAGAGTGATCATCTCAAATGCATTCATTGTTAAAGGCGCAGCTTTCTCCTCTGATCTTTCCATTACATATTGATCCTACAAATATATGTTTAGGGTTTAGGGTTTAGGGTTTATATGTGGTATAAATAAATACCAAACAAAGTTGAAAGTCCAACCTCAATGTCATCAAAAACTGCACGAACATCATCTAAACTCGCATCACCTTCTTCACCCTGACTCATTGATACATAGTTCATTTGGAACCATGGATGCTCCCTTATTCCATCAATTCGAATACGCTAAAATAACAATGTTATGTCAAAAAAAATATAATAAAGTAAAAATAAAAATAGCATCATACTTTGAAAGTACAATGCTATTACAGATACTCACAGTTTGAGGGTTGGGATCCAGAATCTTGTCTAGTAATGACTTTGCACCAGAAGGGAACCAGAAAGGATATGAAAACTCAGCAGCACTGACCTGAGTGAGTAGTTGCAGATCTTAACAACTAAATATAAAACCGTTTTATATAAAATAATGATGTTAATAAAAGTCTTTGATATTTAACCTTTTTATACAAAGTTGGAAGATCTGACTCCTCAAATGGAAGATATCCAGCCAACAGGACATACAGGATGACTCCACATGACCAGATGTCAGCTGCCCCACCATCATATCCGCGTTTTCTTAAAACCTAAAAGTCAACCATGGTAAAAATCTTAGTCAAAGATTAAAAATTAGAAGAAAATTGTTGATAAAAAATTGATATTGTTTTGGTGAACCTCTGGTGCGATGTAATTTGGGGTTCCACAAGTGGTATATAAAAGTTCAACACCCTGGAAAATAGTTTTATATTAGGAAAGAAATATAAACACTGAAAAAAAATATATAATTATATGCTTACTTCGTGTGGGAGTGCACTGAGTCCAAAATCTGAAACCTTTAGCCTTTCTTTGGAATCAAGAAGGAGATTTTCAGGCTATATAATACAAGAAACACTGTTAGTAGAAAATAAAACATTTAATATAAATCCTTACACCTTAAATGATCTGATTATTCTTAAATGTTAAAACTTTGTGTGTCTTACCTTTAAATCCCTATGGTAGACACCCTTGGAATGGCAATGGGCAACTGCATCAATAAGCTGTTGAAAGTATCCCCTGGCTTCCTTCTCTGAGAGCTTTCGTTTGTGAACCTAGGGTCACGAGGGTAGTTTAGGTATTTTATGTATCAAATACTACTTCTATCAAAAAGTAGAGCTTACAATTCTGTCAAAAAGCTCTCCTCCAGTGACAAATTCCAGTATTATATATATCTTTGTATGGCTTGACAAAACCTAACAGAAGGAAAGGATCATGGCATTAAAAAAAATTATAAATCATATCAAGATATGTATTTGCTGAGATAGGAATTAAAATGTATTTCATGATTTCATTTATACCTCATGCAGTCTCACAATATTAGGATGTCTCACTATCTTCATAATGGAGATCTCTCTTTTAATCTGCAAATCAACTTAAATAAGTTATATACTATTAGCAACTTGATATAACTAGGAAAAATCACAAGCATCATACTTTGCAGAGTCACATTCACTCTGTCTAGACTTCTAGTTAATTGCAGTGTTTGCTAGTATATTATTGGTGACTTCTTATTTAGCCTTATTTTAGGCCTCACACTCTTAATATTCTTCTATTCAGAAAACCTAAAAGCATTTGTTGCATAAATTTGTTTACTTGCATGCTTGAATTCTGGTTTCTCTTGTTCAACTAAACAATTCACTCTGTCTACATAATTGTAATATTGTAATGTTTGCTGATATAATCTTGGTAGCATGATATTCATCCTTATAATGCTAATTATGTGCATATTTCTTAGGTCTCACAGTTGTATCTTCTATTCATGAAACCTAAAAGCATTTGTTGCATAAACTTGTTCAAAGTGTATGCTTGAATTCTGTGTTTCATTTGTTCAACCTCTTCAGAGCAGTTGAACTTGTTTTTCTCCATTATTTTAGTTATGATGCTGTTCAAAACTACAGAGAAGCTAAAAGGCCATATTCCATGGTTAAAATACAGGAAACAGAAAAGAGGGAAGATTGAACCATCTATGAGATACAAGCAAGATTACTAGATTAGTTTAGAATATATCTAACAGATGCGTCTTTGGTATATGTTATGTAAGATTTTGTGTTGAAGAGAATAATTGTAAGTGAAAATCAAACCTGATCCACCATTTTATGCTTCAGTATTGTGCTTTTAGCCAGAACCTTAACAGCAACAGCCTCACCAGTCTCTGTGTTTTTCGCAAACTTGACCTTTGCGAATGTGCCTTCACCAATTGTTCGACCAATCTCATATTTCCCGACCTTCTTTGTAACCCTCTTCATCGTTTACCCAAGGCTCAAAGAACATATAGATCATCCACAATTTCTGACCACTGGCTGAACCGCTGAAGACAATGGAAAAACTACACAGCATTCAACATTTATAACTATCTATGTAAAATAACAAAAGTCAAATTTATAAAGTAAGTTCTATTGAAAGGTCATTCTAATCCAAACAGTTCTACAGTATCATTCACGATGATAACATTTTTTCTTCATCGATGTGATGTATCAGAATCTAAACCTAACTATTAGCTCCTTTCACGCCTTTCACATAGATTAAATCGGAATCTCACTAAGCACGTGGAGGAAACGTGAACTTAATAATTCCATTTCGAGCTCATTGATCCTCTTCAGCACAATATGACACAAGTTTTAACAAAAGAATACCAAAACATTATCATTAGTCTCTTTAGACCTGACGAATCGTTCTTATCACAAGTAATTGCAATTTCTAAAATTACACAAAATCACAAATCCAAACGACACACAACGACTCCTAATTATATATGCAGATACACAAAGACATATACCTTTAGCTAGGTACACTTTTTATACATAAGTAAAATTCAGTGCAATTAAATTGAAGAAACTCTTCAGCCGCCGCTTACATGGAAGAAGAAGCGTGTGACCGGAGTTGCGGCAGAGATAGAAACCGGTGATTGGATCGTCTGGAACTCCAACGAGTACACAAACTGAATCGATACGGCGCGTCGAGAGAGAGAGATGTGGGCCAATTTGGCTAGCAGCCTGCCTAGCCCGCTCAAAGTGGAAAACAGCAAAGCAATAAGCTTTTCAGGGGAAACACATGTATAGAAAGGTACAACATTCAATGCATAAAGTACGTGTTTTTCTTTTCATAAGAATACTGTTATTCAATAAATACGGCTCTGGACGAACGAATGGTTAACAAAGTTGGGTACTTTTCCTTGATTTATTAGTGTTTTAATATTATTAAATAGCCCTTAAATTACTAAAATAACGCTTGCTTAGCTACATGAAGCTTGTAGAGCCATGACGATGACGTGGACACGGTCCCACGACTATTACAATAATAGGTTCTGACCGTCCATATATTAATTTGTTGCTATATATGAAAGATCAAAATCAGAATTAAATAGTTGTAGTAAAATGATTAAATATAAAGTTTAAATGAATGATCTTATCTTTATTTTTAGAGTAAACTATATGTTTGTTTGCGGAATGATCTTATCTTTATTTTTAGAGTAAGCAACCTATTTGTTTGCGTTGGTGGTAATGTACTTGACTAATATTGCATTTGTAAAATATATATGAATCTACCGTTTATCCTTTCTATTCTAATAAAAGAATAAGTTTATTCTTTTTTTTGTTATATGTCATCCTATTAAGTCTCATAATTAATGTAATGCTAATTAATGTTTGGGCCACTTTTGGACTCTAGGGTTTTGGGCTCTTGATGGACTAGAAGTCTTTTTGAGTTGAGTCATTGTTAGGCCTTGGGTCATTGCAGATTTAGGCCATATTGGGCCTTGAGTGTCTTTTGGACTTTAGGCTAGTTTGGGTTTGGACCGTGATATGTTAGGCCCAATTAGGGAAGCGTAAAACAGTCTTTTACCCTTAAGATTCGAGATTAAGGATTTGGGCTCTCAGTTTAGGTTAATGACCTAATTGCTAATTAGGGTTCTATTATTTGTCAGTAGCCCGAGTGTGATTTGTTTATATTCTGAGGTGAGATCCTTCATTGTACTCGTGGATCGAAGGCACCAATGCTGGCCCACTGGTGTAACATCCCAAAAATTAGAGTAAATTTTTCATTTTTCCAAAGCAACCCTAAGTCAATAATTGTTTACAAAAACGTCGTTTCAAAAGTATAGTTCGTAAATCAGAGTATCGCAATATCCAATAACATAAAATCTGAAGGATGTACACGATCACGCCTTTACTTTTCCCGATCATCTGAAGTACCTAAAACCATAACAAACAACTGTAAGCACAAAGCTTAGTGAGTTCCCCCAAAGTAGCACCGCACAAACAGATAACATATACAACAAGCATTCATACAGTGTTTGTTGGTCCTTGACCTCAACCCAATCATATCGGGTTTGTTAGTTTACATCATAGAGCGGTAAGACCTCAAACCAACCGTCCAAGGTTTGTTGACATGTGGACTCAACCTTACCATATTGGGTTTGTTGACCTCCAGTCTCAACCCAACCACACGGGGTTTCTTGGCACGTTGCCTCAACCCAACAATCAAGGTTTGTCGGCGCGTGGCCTCAACCTTACCATACCAGGTTTGTTGACTGGAAACACAAAGCAGTACAAGCTCAACCTAACCACATTATGTCGACATATGTAATAGATAAACATATAGCCAGTAAACAGATAAACATGCAGATATACAAATCACTACCGCATAGCAACATCTTAAATACTAGGATACAGATCTAACAGATTACTACAACATAACAACATCCTATATACCAGGATACATAACCTAGTGGGCCGGTATTTGTGCATTCGACCCACGAGTACAGTGAGAAAAGCTCGCATCTCGGTCTGAAAAGATCTCCGGACAGGGCACAACTCCGAATGTCAGCTCGACTGATCACCTATTCACTAAATAATGACCAATCTCAATTACCACTTTGAATACCCAAAATACCCTTAGGTCAAACTTTGTCAAAGTCAAATGTCCACAAAAGTCAAAGTCCAAGATTGGTTGCGTACGCCCAACGTACTCCATGTATGCCCAGCGTACGCGATTCAAGTCCAGTACGCCAAACGTATTCCCAGGTACGCCTAACGTTTTCTGGTGTACTCCCAGATACGCCCAATATACGCTGGCTGATCCCAACATTCCATTGAGCACTTTATCCCTTAAGACCTTTTGTCCATAGCTCATATATAGACGCAATACATCGTCTTAAGTCATAAATTTTCCACCTTTATGACTTCCCATGGTTAAAAAAGGTCCAAAAGTCAAAACCCTAACTTATTAATCCATTAAGACATCATAACTCTTGCATTGAAGGGATAGAAGGGCCAAGATCACATTTTTATGGTTCCTAATAACTTCATAATGGATAAAGTTTCCAACTTTATCTATTAGAATGGTCCACACAACCAAGATCTAGTCTTTAAGTCTTCCAAGGGACCAAAAGTGCATATTTTTCAACTTAATCCATTAAGTCCAAGTCTCCAACCTTCAAATCTGAATCAATATGATGTTTAGATGGCTAAAGTTTCCAACTTTATCCATAACATGGTCACAAACTTTCAAGATCTAAACTTTATGCACTAAAATGACCAAAAGCTCATAAAAAATGACCAAAACTTTCAAGTTTCCAACTTTATCCATAACATAGTCACAAAATTAGCTAGATCTAAAAAATACACCATCAAGATTCAAGCTTTATACCTCTAGAAGAAAGATCAATGTGAACAAAGTCTAGATCTATAAGCTCCAATGCAACCAACACTTCCCCAATAAGCTCCTTATTCTACAAGATGCACCAAGAACACTCCAAAGCACTTAAAAACACCTTCTTTTTGCTCACAAGGCTCAAACCAGGGTTAGGTGTAACACTTGAATCCTGGTAAGTTTCTCTTTTTCCCTTGTTGAATTTATTTGTGCATTTTTAGTCCTTGAGTTATACACGGGGCGTACCACAAGGTACGTTTAGCGTACAAGCTATAAAGCAAGTACGTGGGGCGTACCAAATGGTACGCTTAGCGTACTCATGCGAAGGCTTGGTCGGGGTTCCGGATGCGTACGCGAGGCATACGCATGACTTAATGAAAACCCTAATTTCAAGTGTGGACTATATAAACATCATTATGGACCATGAAACCCTTATTTATCAGCCTCCTCTATCCTCCTAGCCCTATACTCGAAACCCTAAGCCTCTCTATTTCATTTTGAGCTTATAATGTCTATTTTAGTGTGTTTTGATCCATACTCAAAAAGTAGAAGCTTGGTGCAAGGTGGTGGATTAAGGAAGAGCTTGTGGATCTCGACCTTTTGCTTCATTTCCAACTTATTTGAGGTAAAAAGGTATGAACTTGCAATGATGGTTTAGATCTCTTATGTTTGAGTTTTTGTACCTTTTGGCCCATAAATGAGATATAGTGGTTTGATACCACTCTAGGAGCTTTGAGTTGCCGCTCTTGGTGTTTCTGAGGTTCTAGATGCACAAAGTTGTCACATTTAAGGTTTAGATCCATCGATGCATGAGTTGATGCCATTTTTATGAAAGTATACTGTTATATCTTGAAGTTGGGATCTTTTGGGGCATGCAAAATCACCAAGTCAGTGACTTTATGGTTCTAGACGTCTTTTAGGGCTTAGATCTGTGTTTTGGGTTGTTGGTCTTAAGCATTAAGAGCTTAAGACAGATGGCTTCATACGTTGGACGTACAAGTCCGCACGCATGACGTACAACCTAGGTTGCATGTACGCTTAACGTAAAACCCAGGTTGCATGTACGCTTAGCGTATAACTGAGTATGCCCCGCGTACTCAATCTGTTGGGTTTCACATCTTTTGGGCCTCGGTTGAGTTACTTCTTTGGACCTTGTTGCTTTAGGCCTTAACGGGCCATCTGGAATCAAGCTTTTAGACTAAGGAAAATTATTGGGCTTTTGGGTAAGGCCCATATAAGGGGTTTGGGCCCAATTTGGAAAATTGGGCCATATATAGGCCATGGATGATTATTTGGTTTTGGGCCTTTTAGATTGTGGATTTGGGTCTTATTCTTGGATCAAACTAGGTCAGGGGTAAAATGGTCATTTTACCCCAAGTTTGGATTATTGGATATAGATTGGAACCCAAGTGTTAATTGGATGTTATTTTGTACTGATATAGATTGGAAAAAAATATCAATTTTGACACGTTAGCATGCCACGTCATCAAACTGACATGCCATCATGCCACATCAACAAATAACCGGGTTGACCGGTTAAGTGGTTAGAATTGTAACAAATTGGAAAACACAGTGTCAAATTTAAGACAAAAAATAACATAATGTCAAATTAGAATTTTGATGTAAACTTAGTGTCTTTTGTGCTATTTACCCTTATTTTTAAGCTATTTATTTTAAAATTCTTAATGATTATAAAAAATAGTTTCATGAGTTTTTTGTTAATTTAAGATTACAATTTATGTTTAACACTATAATTTATAACTTTTAACTATTTAAAAAATGACCTCTCGATTTTTTTTCAAGTTTAACTGAAATTTTGATTTAAGTTAGTCGTTTAACATCATATTGAAATTAATAATTAAACTATTTCTGCATAAAATCATAAAGGGATATATACACTAAAGTCCCAATATTTTTCATCGATTTGACAAGAAAATCCTAAACTTTATTTTTTTGACAGTAAAGTCCATATTACCGGCAATTTTAGACACTTTTACTCTTTTTTTCCCGGTTAGCCGGTAATTAGGACTTTTTTTTTTCAAAAAAATAAAGTTTAGGACTTTCTTGTCAAATCGTCAATTAGGACTTTACTGTCACAAAAATAAAGTTTAAGACTTTCTTACTAAATCGTTGAAAATATTGGGACTTTAGTGTATATATCATTTTTTTGTTAGAAATTTAATGGTATGATACTCTTTAAGCATAAGAGTTATTGAAACATTCTCTAGTCAGTTGGATCCTATTGAAATCCTCAACGTTTGCTTCTTGTTAAATCGTTATTTTAATCTCAACAAACTGACATTGAAAAAATAATCAAGAAAGAAAGAAAGAACCAGGGTTGTGTTGGCTTTTTGCAGTCCCAAAAATGGAGAAATAAGATACCGAAAAAAAAAAGAAATTGCCCTTCTTTCCCTTCTCAACATTCACACCCTTTTGACTAGGCATGTGTTGTTTGTGTTTATATAATCTGTTCCCACTTTTTAGTTCAAGATTTGGCGGAGAAGCAAGAAGAAACTTTTACAAGGGTGAAAAGACTTGTAAAAGTTTCTTCTTGCTTCGCCGCCAAATCTTGAACTAAAAAGTGGGAACAGATTATACAAACACAAACAAATCATGCCTAGTCAAAAGGGTGTGAATGTTGAGAAGGGAAAGAAGGGCAATTTCGTTTTTTTTTCGGTTTTTTATTTCTCCATTTTTGGGACTGCAAAAAGCCAACACAACCCTGGTTCTTTCTTTCTTTCTTGATTATCTCCATTTTTTTCAATGTGGGTTTGTTGAGATTAAAAAAACGATTTAACAAGAAGCACACGTTGAGGATTTCAATAGGATCCAACTAACTAGAGAATGTTTCAATAACTCTTATGCTTAAAGAGTATCATACCATTAAATTTCTAACAAAAAAAATGTATACACTAAAGTCCCAATATTTTCAACGATTTGACAAAAAAGTCTTAAACTTTATTTTTTGACAGTAAAGTCCTAATTGACGATTTGACAAGAAAGTCCTAAACTTTATTTTTTTGACAAAAAAGTCCTAATTACCGGCTAACCGGGAAAAAAGGGTAAAAATGTCAAAAATTGCCGGTGATTTGGACTTTACTGTCAAAAAAATAAAGTTTAGGACTTTCTTGTCAAATCGATAAAAATATTGGGATTTTAGTGTATATATCCCAATCATAAATTATACAAAAGTTGTGACTTTAAATGACAACCGTTTACATATGACAAAATATCTAAATTAATAAATTAATATGTTAAAAAGTTAAAGTCATAATTTTATAAATAGAAGTAAAATATGATATTTTAATATTACAGTTTAGTTAATTTATGATTAGAATTTAGTTTTTGCATTAATTTAACATTATTAACCAATTTATAATAATTATTAGAAAGAAATTGAAAATACATAAAAGTTTCAAATGCATGTGATGCAAGTAAAAATGCCTCCTTTGTAAGTATATATAAATATAGATATAGATATATAAATATAGATAGATATAAATATATATAGATGTTAATGACTTGTAAAAGTAATAAACTTTTCCCTTGTATATATTTAGTCACGTATGTTAATGACTTGTAATGGTTATGTGCTCAAAAAAAATAGTGATTAAGTGTTCAACCTTGATAAAATTTATTTAACTTTAGGCACGACAAAGTGGGGGTCAAGAACCCTCAGCGAATCGCGAATCCTACCTGGACTCGGCAAACACCGTGCCACAAACTTGGCGTGTTGAGTTCGGTGGCCAAACTTGGCGGGTTTCTACTGAGCTAATCCTCTATCTTCTCCTTTCTTCTTCCCCATTCGACAACCTCTTTTTCTCCACTCCATCTGTTTGGTATTACAAAGAAGAAAATGTTGTTCGGCTGAAGTGGAGGTCGGTGCACTCGACACCACCCCAACCTTACAGGTAATTAACTCTTCCTAGATGTGATCAGTTTCCTTATCATACTTACTAGGTGTGAGACCCGTATATTATACGGGTTAATTTAAAAAAAAAATAAACATTAAAGTTTAAGCAGTAAATATTTTTTGATGTAAAACTTTAAAATAAGAAAGGAAGAAACGTATTCGTTGCAATTTAATTTCATATATATTATATTTAATATTTTACATATATAACTATATGACTTTAATTTTAAAATTTGAAACAAATCAGAAAGGGAAAATGACATAAAAGCCCTTAAGTTTTCACAAAAATGTCGGTTTTACCCTTGGACGTGTTTTATGTCCAGTAAAGCTCGAAGTTTTGTTTAATTTGTTCATTTTTACCCTTGTAGCCGGTTTCCAGGTAACCGGTAATGCCATTAAAGCCCTTGAATTTTCAAAAATGTTTGGATTTACCCTTAAGTTTTTCAAAAATGTTCGGATTTACCCTTACATGATTGTGTTTGTTATTATTATTATTATTATTATTATTATTATTATTATTATTATTATTATTACATTTTTAATTGTATAAAAATATTTTATACATACATTTTTAAATGTATAAAAATATTTTATACATTTTAATATATTTTTAAATGTATAAAAATATTTTTACTAATATAAATATATTTTTAAAAATATATGTACTTGTATTTAGTATTTATATACATTTGAAAACCCTAAATCTTCATCTATAATTGTTGAGTCGAACAGAAAAAGCTTGATAAAGTAAAAAATATCGTCAATGACTGATTTTGCAAAAACAAATGCTTTAGATCAATTGATGCATTTCGTGATCTTTTTTGTGAACTTACAACAATCATAAATGAAGTTTACACTCGTATTTGACATTTCGTTATCAATTTTTGAGATAAAAACAGTTAATGAATGATTTTAAGTTGATAATACTTAATTTTTACAATGATCAAGTGTTTTTGTTGAGGTTTTTTTGAATTATATTCTGTATATTTTCCATTTACAAGTGTTATTTGTTTGATCATTTATTGTTATCTACTCACTATTAACCTAATATAGTTGAATATTAGAGGTTTTTTCAAATTTTATACTAAATCTTATCTATAACCGAGTGTTTTTATTGAGGTTTTCTAATTATGAGGGTTTTATAATTGTTACGTTATGTTTTTAATTAATGAATATTTATTTTGCTTATCTATTTAGTATGATGTTTGATAATAAATACATATTTATACTTGGTAATATGTACAAATACATATAATTATATCTTTTATATAATATAAACCATATAAATACATATTTTTATATTTATATGTATATAATATATTTTTATATGAAATAAATATATATTTATACTTATACCTACTAAATATAAATAAATACATTTTTAATATATAAATACATTTATTTAGGAATACATGGGCTTTCAAATGTATATATAAATATTAAATACAAGTAGATATATTTTTAAAAATATATTTATATTAGTAAAAATATTTTTATACATTTAAAAATGTGTGTATAAAATATTTTTATACATTTAAAAAGGTATTAAAAAATAATAATAATAATAATAATAATAATAATAATATGTATAAAAATGTATTAAAAACGTATGAAATATTTTTATACATTTAAAAATGTATGTATAAAATATTTTTATACAATTAAAAATGTAATAATAATAATAATAATAATAATAACAACAATAATAATAATAATAATAATAATAATAATAATAATCAAAATAACAATCAAGGTAAGGGTAAATTCGAACATTTTTGAAAAACTTAAAGGTAAATCCGAACATTTTTGAAAATTTAAGGGCTTTACTGGTATCAAGTAACCTAGGTAACCGGTAGGTTACCTGCAAACCGACTACAAGGGTAAAAATGAACAAATTAAACAAAACTTCGGGCTTTACTGGACATAAAACACGTCCAAGGGTAAAATCGACATTTTTGTGAAAACTTAAGGACTTTTATGTCATTTTCTCAATCAGAAATTGACAAGAGGATAATATTTATTTCAAAAATACCATAAAATGACAAGTGTTAAAACTCATGAGAGATTGACAAGTGGCAAAATTATTTTCATTTATTAGGAAGGATGAGACGAACACCAACAAATGATAAAAACATCATGACTAGAACGTTAAACATTAAAAATAACCAAATTGACAAAAAAAAAACCCCTTAAAACTATATGTTGTGCATATTATACATAAATATAGAAATTCCCCATGATGTTATTTTTAGGAATCCAAACAATAAAAATCAACCTTTTTTAAAACATTATAAATTAACTATTTTGAACCAACACAAAAAAAGTCAATGACCTACACATAGGGTGACAACTAGTAAAGGGACGAGATTTGTAGTTTACTCTTTGCTTCTTGTTGACATATCGATAATCATTAATCTAAAATTGTTACTCGAAAAAATTGACCTATAACTTTTTAAATTATCTAGTTTGAAAAACATTTAAAAAAAAATCTAGTTTGGAAAAGATTTCAAATATTTAATTTATTCTATCCAAAATTTTGTAAACCAATGTACGGGGGCATATGAGAGTAAACTTAAAAGTCTTCCGAAACTCATTAAAATCCTTTTGGTTTAAAATTTAGGGGAAAAAACACGTAGGTAGAGAGATGGAGAGCGCTAAGCCGTCGTCTTCGGCGCCGCCGTACTCAGGAGGACGCGCCGGTGCCGGCGGGAAATTCAGGAAGCCTCCTATTTCAAGGAAGCGGGCGTCTACTCCTTACGACCGTCCATCACTGACTACTGGTAATAATAAATCAGACGAGCCTCAAGACGGCGGCGGTAGCTGGTTGTCGAAGCTTGTTGTCAATCCTGCTCGTCGTCTCATTGTCGGTGGTGCTACCAGAATACTGCCATCGTTTTTCTCCAAATCAGACTCTTCTTCTGCTGACGAGTATGAGAACGATCCCCCTGGTGATCGCGGTGAGTCACAATGACGATGTCACGCATACAATATTAATTAAAAATTAGGTTTTGAAGTGAATTAGGGTTTCGTTTCTACTTGATTAGTACAATACAATTAGAATATGCGTGTTTTAAGATTGATTACACTGGTATGTTTTATTGAAGTGGCAGTGGCACAATCTCATAACAAGTTCTTTTAATATAATCCATAAACAGCAAGTAGAAATTATTTTTTGTTACTTATTGTAGCAATCAGTTTGATTCATGCGTTATTGCATATAAAGTCACCCCTTGCTTACATGCAATTGGTAGATGTTAATTGCTTGTGCCAAAAAAATCTTTGGTCTTTATCAGATTGTTCATGGTTCTGGTTGCATCAAAAAGATTTGGAAGGGCACTGGAGGATTAGAATTCATATGGAGTTTTAGAACCATAGGAAAGATGTTAAAAAAGGTAAAAGAGGAATATGTCATAATGTAAAGTCTTCCACTCTAAAGAGAGATACCAACATAGGGTGAAAAATAGCTAATTATGTTTCTTGTATGTCATTTGCTAAAACATGTAGTTTTTTTTTTTATTGACAGATGATCAACATATAGATGCAACTGAAAATGCAAAAAGTGATGCTAAACATACTTTAGAGGCAAGTTTTCTTATCCTTTTATCCTGGGACTTGTAAACATATAAACATTCATGTGGATATCTGAAATTTTCTAGAATGTAATCATTAAGAATACTAGGATGTATGTTTATATGTCTCTGTTGTAAGTAAATGTATCCCATTATGGTTATGCAGCTTGGAGTATCCAGTAATGAAAGGGACAAATTGAAGGGAAGTTCAGAACATAATATTCTCCAACAAGATGAATCAAAGAACTCACCTAGCAATCATGGTTTAGCTAAAATTGAGAACATGTTGAAAGGGAAACAATTTTCTAGGTAATTTGTTATATACTTATATTATAATCATTCTCTTTCTAAAACTTAAAGTATAATGCAGGGATGAAAGGAATCGTTTGATGGAGATATTGAATTCTAGATTGGTTGATGTTTCTAATACTGAAGAGGAGAAGAAAACACCAGAAGTAATTTCTCTTTCTCATGGGAAAGCTAAAGAAAATGTGGTGGAAATCCCAATGCCTCATTTGCAATCAAATGTAAGGACAAATGTTACTAAATTTTTATTACTTGTATTGTATTATATGATCTATGAATTATGATGCTGTTGTGAAACAGGTGAAAGATGAAGTTGGTGCTTCACCTATTGATATTGCAAGAGCTTATATGATGGGAAATCGAACATCAGAAAAACTAGGGTTTAATACTTACACTATTAAGTCAAAAGATGAAAGGGAAAGTCAAAATCATGATTTGATTCCTTCAAAGCTACATAACATCTCACCTTCATCAAAGTCACCCACTTGTTGGCCAGGTGTCATGGTTCAAGAACAACGTGGCTATCTGACCCCACAGATTCAAAGAACCAGATATGGTCTTCATGGTTTCCCAAGAACACCATATTCTAGAACCATCTATTCAACTACTAAACCAAAGGTATGTTTTGAAGGAGAGACTAAATGACCGTTTTACCCTTGTTATGTTTAATTTGTATATTAATTTTATTAACAGGTGAATCAGATACAAAGTGATAACAAGCCTTATAATGTTTCTGTGACACCATTCCAACATTCGCGTACTCCTATTTTTGGCCAGGTATTAATTTATTAAATAATTTTTAAAAAAAAGAGAAAAGAATGGGAGCTTATTTTTTTTATTCAACACAGATGAAGTCAAGTGGTGATGTCTATGGATCAGTGGGGCCAATTCGTCGTGTAAGAAACAAGTTCCCATTTGAACCACAATCTGAAAGACGTAGTAGTGCTTCTAGAAGCTTTGTGCCTGATTTCCAGAAGAATCTGGAAGCTTCTGGAAGTAGTATTACTAGTGGAGCATCTAGTGAAACAGTTAGAAAAATAATGGAACAACTTGATAGACACAAGCCTACACCTAAAGAAAAAGCAGATGAATTGAAGCTTGCAACTGAATGGAAAAAATCATCTTCTGAAAATAATTCCAATTTGATTATTCCCAATTCTAAGGAAAGTAGCATTTTAGGATCTTTTGTTAAAAGAAATGATGATGGAGTTGACCCAGTCAAAACTTTACACAAGGATGCAGAGCCTTCATTTGGTTTCAAGAATACAAGTGCTGCTGATGATGAGGTAAAATTTTTATTTATTTATTTATTTATTGTTAACTAATGTTTTACATTGGGAATTGTTGTGATTGGTTTAAAACTGAAGGAAAAAGGAAAAAGTCAACCATGGTCATTTGACAGTCAAATCAACGGTCAGGATGCGAGTAAAAAGAGACAATCTCAACCAATGTTGAAGCCGATTTCCTTCAAAAGGCCGGACCCACAACAAGTGATATCATCGTCGGATAACAGCCGTGGATTCACCTTCCCATTCTCTGTCACCGCCAGCTCAGCATCAGAGCCGCCTACACCATCCATCATGCCATCTTTTCCGGCGACCGGAGTAGCACCGCCGGTTATACCAAGTTACAGTTTTGGAACAAAGAAATCTGAGCGGGTGGTTTTCAGTTTTCCTTCTACAAGCAGTGGTGTTATACCTATTGGTGATGGTGAGTCTGACCTTAAGTTCAACTTTGGGTCGGATAAAAAACGGGTCTCTTTTGGTTCAATAGGAACTGATGCTATTGCAATTAATTGAACTTTTGTTTGTAGTGGATTCTAGCCATAACTTTTTTTTTTTTTTTTTTTTTACGTATCTGATTGATTTTTTTTTTCCGATAAATATATTTTGAGTATGGTATAATGAAGAAATAGTTAAGAGTTTGGGTGTCTGTGTTCCATCTGTATCTGATTTACATCTCACAATGTGGTGTGGTAGCTTGAGGAATAACCTTTTCGTAAGCCTATATGCAACAAAAGTCTAAAAAGTGTTGGATGAATATTGATAACTTTTACAAAGCTATATGTTATTACTCCTAATTAAGAAATTTGAGATTTATTTTGACGATATATTTACTGGTCTATATATGATATTTAGTAATATGGAGTTTGCTTCATAAGGTTTCGTTAGTTTTTTCCTTTACGGATTGACGTTTTCATGCGTTTGATTGATTATAAGTGCATTTTTATTAGCACCGAGAAAAACTAGAGTTTTCATTTTTTAAGATGAATTACTAATTATTCCAAGTCACTCAAAAACGACTACCATATATTTTTTGAGTAAATTATAAATTTGGTCTATTTGTTTTAAATCTTAACATAAATATAAATTTTGAAAATGTTTTAATGTGGTTCTTTATTTTGCTTTTTGTTGCGGACATAGTCTCTGTGTTTTGCAAACTTAAAGATAACATTAGGACAATTCTAAAATTCAGATTGAATTTAAATTTTTGGGTAAAGCGTAGGATCCAATTTATAATTTGCGTTATCTTTTAACAATATCTAATTCAAATTTATATTTAATATGTTCTAAGACCATCTCCAACCCACTTCCATTCTCCCCCCCCCCCCCCACACCCCCAAAAAAACAATGGAGTAAAAAATGGGGGCAAATAGTGTTTCATCTCCAACCTACTCCATTTTTTACCCCATTTTTACTCCCAAAAAGTATATTCCATTATTCTAACTTATATAAATTGTCAAACACACCCCTTCTATTAATTTGGTTTTAACAAATATATAATCTATATTTTTTCATTACAATAATTTTAAATAAATAAGATTATATTTATAACACTTAATTACAAGCTTTTGTAAAATACGTTATCGTGTTTTAAAATTTCAATATGTATTTAAATTTTAATATGAATTTGATAAACAAAAAACAAACACTATATTTATAATTAATTAATATAATTTAATATATAACACAATATTATAGGTATTAAATATTACACTTAATTCTAATTAGTAGATAAAAATAAACTAGAAATGTATAAATATATAAAAAGAGGGACTAAAATCGACAACTCAAAGTTCATCCCCATTTTGGGGGAAATGTGTAACGCCAGTGTTTCTAGGCTAGGAATTAATATTGACATAATGGTCTAGGTTAACCTTTGTAACTCATTTTGAAGAAATGAAAAGGAGTTATGTGAATTTTATGTGAATTATGTGTTTTATGCTTAATTATTAGGGTTTAATTAATTAAGAATAAAAATGAGCGTCAAAATTAAATATTAGATAAAGCCGATATTTATTAAGAAACTTGAAGTGGGTGTGACAAGGATTACGGATATATAAAGAATATCGAAATCCGAGTTATAACGAAGAAGTTATGACCTGTCGAAGTTTCGCGACAAAACCGGCACGGGGCCGAATGTCGTAAAAAGTGAGTTTTTGATAAACTACTTTTTAGCCTTAGTTATCTAAACGAAACTCGTAGTGTTCGTTAAACCGAGAAGTTCGATAAAAAGAACGCCAAAATCTGACTTCGTATGAGGAAGTTATGATTTTCGAAGTTTCAGCTTAGCAGTAGACAGCTAAAAACTCGAATTTTAGATCGAGTGATTTTTAGCCGACACAACCTAAACGAGAATCGAAGGTCTCATAAATAGTAGCACAACGGTAAAAAGTCTGACGAAAACGGACTTCGGATGAAGAAGTTATAAATTTTTAACGGATTTCCTGTCCCGGTCTATTAAAAATAATAATTTAAAAATTAAAGTCAAAATTAGCCGACGAAGTCTAAACGAAAGTCGTAGAGCGTAATTTTACCTACGCGTGCATATAAAGAACGTCAAAAACGGAGCTCGTATGCGAAAGTTATGGATTTTAGAAGTTTTGGCGCGAAAATCGAGAAATTATTTTAAAATCCGAGAAATTTCGCATAGGCCACGTCACCTTCGCTGTATGAACAGTATTCACGTGCTCGCTTCTGATTCGACCGAAGGGAGGCCTAACCGAAGCAAGCCGCGTGTCGCCCTTGTTCCGATCTGCTGAGTCACCGAACCGAAGCAGCTTAGTAATCCGAGCTCGCTGGTCCAATCCGAGGGTGTCGCGTGCCCTTCGCGTGTCCGAAGCTCGCACCTTCCACCTGGCCTCGCTCCGCGGCTTGCCACCTGCTGCCTTCGCATGGCGACGCGTGTCGCGGTCCGAACCCTCGCTGGCACCGCCTCTTCTCGGCCGACTCCGGATCTCCCCTCCTATAAATAGAGGGCATGCGAGATTGCCCGGGTACTTTTGGGAATTTGGCATTTTCACACCCTTTTTCAATATTTTAGCCATTTTTGCTTCCCCCGATGCCCCAAGATCATTTCCAATGCCCGGAACACGTCCCGGAGTGCCCGAGAAGCCCGAAAAATTTATCTTTTCGATTTCGAAGCCCGACCCTCGCAGAGCTCGGTTTCTCAATAAAACTCCCGGTTTTATTAGAAACGATCGTTTTAGGAACGAATTGCTGCCGATTTTCATTAAATCATGTGAGTGTTGTTACTTTCACCTTACACATAGATATGAAGTATTTACCTTGAAATACGTGCTATGTGTAAATATATTAATTGTTTATTTGAGGTGACTGTTGAATTGATGTTTATATAAGTTTTTAAACTGTATATATATTTTTATCTACAAATATGTTGGGTAAAACATGGGTAGATGAATTAGATGATGTGTGATGAAATAAAAGTAATGAGAGGTATCGATGTTTAAGATGATCTAGTCATCTAGCAGAGTATAGACAACGGCCACAAACTATTTTAGATAGTCCAGTGGAACGTTAGTAGACTTGTAATCGGTACGTATGTTTGAACTATATGTTCATAAAGTGTTCTTACTATATGTTCATTAGGTGTTTTGAAACTATGTGTTCATCCATTATTCTTCCTTTTGACACTATTACGTGTCGGGGTACGGGAGCGTACGAGAGTACTTTATCAGTATTTCCCCTATACTTTATTTGGAAGAGCTTTGGAGTCTTTGTTCTTTATGAAGTGATCGGACTAGCTTCATGAGTTAGTGATATAGATCATGAGTTAAATAGTGGGCGTGTGATGAAAGGTGAGTTGGATAGATGAGATGATCAGTGATATAGATCATGAGTTGAGACTGATTGGGTGAAATATGGAAAAGCTTTTACCCAAATGTTGGCGTGAGTGGGTTCAATATGGAAAAGCCCTTACCCAACGTTGACCCCCGTCATTCAGCAGAGTAGGGATGACAACCATTGACTGTTCTAGACGGTCTGCAGAACACTAGCAGGCTCGCAACCTGTAGGTGTTAATGGACTCGATTGTTCATTCGTTGTACTCTAAGACCCCCGTCATTCAGCAGAGTATGGATGACAACCATCGACTGTTTTGACGGTCTGTGGAACACTAGCAGGCTCGTAACCTGTAGGTGTTAATGGACTTAAGTGTTCATTCATGTACTCTATTCCCCTCATGAGTGCCTTAGGGCAAGTAAGGCTGGGGGAAACCCCTTAAGTATGTTCATCAGCTGTATGGAAAACCCATTGACATGTATTGCGGGGTGGAGGGCGGGGGGGAACTCCCGTGGGAAATACCGTCGATGAATAAGAGCTATGGACTAGCACATGACGACGATGTGACTTCGTGCCTATTTGAGATAAATTGCTGAAGGAAAGCAATGTTGTCACCTTGTTGGTTGTTTTATGTTAGGATGTCTTGTTTGACATAACTTGCTGAGGGAAAGCAATGTTGTCACCCCGATGTTTGTTTTATTTGACATAACTTGCTGAGGAACCCCCAAAGCAATGTTGTCACCCCTAGTGATAATCCTTGCTAGGTCCCTTGTGATAGTTGTTTTAGGGACGTAAGTGAGGATAATGGGAATAGGTAATTATTAGGGTTTATTTTGGTTGATGAAATTAATAAATTATATTGACTTGAGAACTTAATAAGTTTATTATTTATTGTGGTTGAAAACATTATAGCTCACCAGCTCCCAAGCCTGACCCACTCAGTTTAATTGTATCACAGGTATCGATACGAAGTTGCTTTACACTGAGAGATTAAAAGAGAAGTAGATCACTAGTGTAAATGAATGTAAGTTTGGTTTATGCTTATGTTTTTGTATTGACAATGACATCCCAATGGTTTAATGAATAAAATACATTTCTTCGGAAATGATTTGATAACATATTATTATGTTTTTCTGGGAACAAAATTCTGCAACACTTTTAATCAAATGATTACTCTGAAATTATTTCAAAAGCATAAATTAAACCGGTCTTTTCTGGCTGTGAATTTGGGGATGTCACAAAATGAATAGTACTATTCATTTCCTCCAAAATGGGGGAATAAATGGGGTATGGTTGGAGAAGAATATGAGAAGAAATGAGGGAAATAATGAAGAATGGGAGTGGGTTGGAGAGGCTCTAATACAGTAATACTTATTATTTTTCCTTTGTAAAATTTGTTTTAATGGCTGACATACTAAAAACTACTTTTATCAAACTATGCAAGATATTAGAGCATCAACAGAAATCTATTTTTTTTTTTTTAAATTTTTTTTTGTTTTTTTAATACATACTTATCAATCCAAAAATCTAAAAAATAATCTTTATATTAATAGATTTTTTTCATTAACTTATCCATAGGACCCACATATATGTATTTATATATTTTATTGTTTTTGTATAAGTTTGTTATATTACAAGATTGGTGATATTTTTAATTATAATTTTGATTCTTCCACTTAAAAATAAGGTGTTTTGACTTATATATTCTTCATCATGTTTTTATCTATTAAATTAAAATAGGGGTAGAAGTCAAATCATCTTGTTTTTATGTGGATGAAAAAAAACAAGATGATTTGAATTTTATACCCTATTTTAGTTTTTTTTTTTTAACGGCAAATACAAATATTATAATCTATTCATAAACTACCACCTAATTCCACCCATGTCCAAGAAAAATAAAAAAGTAAATATATCTTCTTTATAGATACCGTCTTACATAATATTTATGTATAATAATAACCTAGGCTAAATGGAGTGGCCATTTTAAGGCTCTCCCAAGGCCTGTGGCTTACTTCGCTATAGACCATCCCTTGCCTCTCGCTAGGATGTATGCCAAGAAAGAGTCCCTGCCGGAGTATAGTGAGAAAAAGAAAAGAGACTGAGAAGCATTGAGGGTTTGATCAAATGTTTTTATTTTTTTTTATTTTTTAATTTTTTTTGTGGAATACTCTCTTGCTTTATGAAATACATGGTCATCAATTTGTGAAAGCATGGAGTATTATTTATTTATTTTGTTTTGAATAAAGAGTTCCAATAAATTATGTTTATTTAAATAAGAACTATCAAAGTATTAGTTTGTTAATTACCTTTTTACAAGCACTTAAATAATAAAAAACATAATTTACTTAAGTTTTTGTTTTTAAAAAAAGTTATTTAATATGAAATATGTGTTTTAAAAACGTATAATTTACTAAAGTTTGAAAAAAAAATCAAGAAATGCTAGAGATACTACCACTTTCTATAAAATGTTAAAAAAAAGTTACTAACGAGGTGAGAAAAAATGACATAACAACAAAATAGACATTATATTTACAGTTTTTTTCTATTTAAACCAAAAGTTTTACTTTTTTCCTAAAAAGACCACATTTTTGGAGGATCTTTGTTATTTAGAAGAGATAACCGGTTGACTACGTTAATAGCCGGTATCAAGGTATCAAGTACGTATGTATCTCATCCCCTCCATTATACGTCACTTCTCTTCTTCTACACTTGTTGCTAGGTTTCATTGTTGCTCTTCAAGATACACAAGTCCATATGCAAAACTAGGGCTTTTTCTGAAATTGCTCAAGGAGAAAGCCATGACATCTAACAACGATGCCAAGAAGAAAACTAAGAAACACAAAAAAAAATACGCTGATTATGAAGATCCCGAAGATGAAATTCTCGTATCAGACATGCCCATGGACTATGAGAGGGAAAAGGTAATAACTGTTTCATTCCAATCTGTTAAAGATCCTTTTCTTACCAAACTTTTTGAAGATGAATCTGAGTTTTTTGGTGAAAAAGATGAATATGTAGATGATTTAGTTCATCTAGAAGATGACGAGAATGACATTGTGGTTTCCAATTCTGTCCATGATCCCACCATAGAGTGGAATCTCATGGACCAAAGGTTGGAGAGCATATCAAAATTTTTTCTCAATTGAAAAATTGTCTTATTAACTACGCTGTGGCCCATGGGTATCCCCTAAGGTTTGAGAAACTTGAAAGTACTAGGTTAGTAGCTAGATGTGGTAGAGATACAGACAAAAAAATGTGATTTTCGTTTGTATGCATCATGGATGAACGCAGAAAGAACAGTCCAAGTAAAGTCAATGAAAAAGAAGCACTCGTGTTCAAGAAAGGTTACTTTTGGACACCTTGTATCCCCTCAATGGATTGCTTCTCATCTTCTGAAGGAGATTGTTTTCAACCCATCTATTAAACTTAAAGAATTGAGGGAACTCATTAGGACAAAATTCAAGATCACCCTATCTATCAGTAAATGTAACAGGGCTAAACATAAGGCAATGGTGATGATTGAAGGGAAGGCTAGTGATCATTATGCTAGAATTTGGGACTATGCTGCAGAAATACAAAGATCCAACCCTGGTAGTACTGTGCAAGTGGGTGTAAACCTTAATCCTGATGGAAAACATTACTTCCATAGATTCTATGTATGCTTTCATGCATTGAAAACAGGATGGATTGTTGGATGTAGGAGAGTGATAGGATTAGATGGGTGCTTTTTGAAAGGGCAAGTAAAGGTCAACTCCTCAAACTATAGGAAGGGATGCCAATAACCAAGTATATCCTATATGTTGGGCTATGGTAGACATTGAGAACAAGCAAAACTGGAAATGGTTCTTGGAGCTTCTTAGTGAGGATGTTGGAGAACAAGAAGGTGGAGGTCTTACAGTTATATCAGACCAGCATAAGGTATATTGTTATTCTTGTCCCTTATGTCATAAATTTCAAAAGTTTCTTGTCCATTTTTTCATAAAAAAGGTGTCAAATAACATTATTATTCTTTTAGGGGCTACTTGAAGCAGTAAAGGAGATCTTGCCAAATGCGGAGCATAGACAATGTGCTCGCCATATATACGCAAACTTTAAGAAGTCATATAAAGGAAAAGAGTACAAAGATCTGTTTTGGGTTGCTTCTGGTTACACTGTCGAACCTCAATTCATATCTGTGATGGAGAGATTGAAGGCTACAGATGTGGGTGTATATGAATACTTAATGTCCCATAACCCGAGCTCATGGAGTCGTGCTTACTTTTGTCAAGGTAAGTATTTCATTTTCCTTTTTACTTAAATTTGTTCTTTATACTTTAATATAACACTTAACATTGGTGTTGCACTTAACATTTATGGTTTGGACGTTTTTACCCTTGTTGATGTGCTAGATTGAATAAAGGAATGAGCAATTCCAATGCAACCAAAGTGGATGAATTTGTGAATAAAAGTGGATAAGTTTGTTGTGATTTATGTAAAGCTGAAAACAGAATTTTGAAAACAAAAATCTGAAATCTGAAAACAACAATCTGAAATCTGAAATCTGAAAACAGCAATCTGAAAATCTGAAATCTGAAATTATAAATCTGAAAACAGCAATCTGAAAATTTGAAATCTGAAAACAGCAATCTAAAAATCTGAAATCTGAAAACAGCAATCTAAAAATCTGAAATCTGAAATCTGAAAACAGCAATCTGAAAATCTGAAAAAAAAAATTTGAAATCTGAAAAACATAAATCTGAAAAACAGGTATGTTTATTTTTTAACAGATAGAGCACGATAGCTGTGAGGTTTTAGATGTGTTAGTGAAAGCTTCATTCGATGATTGTTGATGCTAGAAGAGGCCATTGTTAACAATTTTGGAGATGATACGTTTAAGTTGTCATGGAGAGGTTTTTTTATGTATAAAACCTACAACAAACGTGGGAGGCTCCTATTTTCCTTGCAATCATTACGAAATTGGAAACATTTGGTGAACATTATGTTGGATTAGGTGTCTAAGCCCATAACTATAATTGGTATGTACTTGAATTGATAGCAGCACAGTCCTTTTGGGTTGCCCTCAACCTAGCAATTGGACAAGGAAATTATGAAAGGAGAGATATTAATTTATAAGATTAATAAATTAATATATATATATATATATATATAAATGATTTATTAATATGTTAGTGGATTAATATATTAATAAGAAATCATTATGTTTAATTAATTGTTAGCCAGAAATTAATCAGAATTAATTTTGGGGTTAAAAGAATTAATTATAAAGTGTAGGGACTAGTTTGCAATTAACTAATAGTTGAGTGGAAGGTTCCAGAACCCCCTTGGAAGGGGGTGGAAAACCCTAGGGGAAACCCTAATAATTCGTCCAAGGGCTCCAAGATAAGGCCTTGGGTTTGCTTAGGCCCTAAGCAAAGGATAACTAGGGTTTTCCTAAACCCTAGTTCCCTCAACTATTTAAGGAGCCTCCTGGCTCACATTTTAGTGTACTGATTCTTTGGAAGAATACCCTGGCCGAAATTGCATACTCCCTCTCCTCTCTCTCTCTTCTACTTTCCTTCTTGCTAGTTCTTGGGTGTGATTCCATTAGAGGCATTACATTTGTGGTGCTGAGCTTCCAAGAAGATCAAGATCAAGATCAAGGGAATATCAATTGTTTGCTATAACAATTGAAAGGTATGTAAACCCTAACCCTAGTTTACTATTTCGATAATAGCCTCTCTCCTCTAGGGTTCTTGTTTTGCAATTCAAAGTTGTATGTTCAATAGTTAAAACATAGATCCAAAGTAGGTTGCATGTGAACTTAGGAATTGTTTTCTAGTTTACTTGTTGTACCTAAAACCCATCAGTGGTATCAGAGCCATTGTTTGTTTTAAATTGAATTGCTATAATAGTTGAATTGCAAATTAGGGTTTATAGCCATTAAACCCTAAAGGCCAAATTTTTCGATTTTAGGGTTTTGGATGAAGGGTTTTCGAAAACCCTAGCCTCCAAAGAACCCTAATCGAAATTAGGGTTAGGGTTTGAAAAACCCTAGCCTCCTCCCTTGTGAATTTCGATTGCTAGAGGATAACTAGGGTTTCTTGTTTTGGATAATTGTTACTTAATTAGATTAATTGGATAATTATCCTTACCCTATTTTTCGAAATTTAGAGGGATAAGGATTAGGATTAAATTAATGATTAATTTAATTAGATAATCCTTACAAGATTTAATAATTGATTAATAGTTAATTAAAAGATAAATATTAAATCTAGTTAATTGGTTTATTTAATTTTAAATTTAATAGCTTAAATTTCGAAATTTATAAACCCTTGAAGTTTTAAATGTTTTAAAACACCACTTCTATATATATATTATAATTAAAGTTTAATATTATATATGTATAAGAATATGGTCAGTCAAATCGCTAGTATGCCTCATTCACGAAGCTAATCTATAAGGGGGGTATAAGGAAACTGCCTATAAAATGGTAGTTGAATGGGTGTCCACTCTCACCCACCGCTTCCTTGATTAGTGGAGGGTCGTTAGCAGAACGGATTTGATAGGACAACTACTTCTCATTAAAAGTATAATGATATTAAAGTACTAGAACATTATTTTCAAAAATCCCAACTCTAGTTACTTTAGGAAAAATGTGAAAAGTATGCTAATCCATGAAATTGCACATTATGCTTTATTGGTCGTTAGTGGAGCGTGTGTGGTTACCAGCACACTAAAAGGCACTAATAAAGAGTAGTAATGGGTATCTCATAATTGTCATTTTGATGGAGCGTGTGTGGTTTACCAGCACATCAATAGTTAATGATAAAGACAATGAGGTTACCAAGCACATTTGCATGGTTATTCACATCTTGTTTGTGATCCTCGGCATCCCAGTCACAAATAGAAGAGCATAATCTGAGATTAAAACATGCCATTGAATAGTTTCATGTATCTCAAAAGAATTAGGAATTTCACTTCGTTTGTTTCGTCTAATGGTGGAATTGGTGAATCGTCATTCACCTACCTTTATGAAATTTGCACTTGGATCTCGGCATCCCATTTCTAAGTTGTGAATCTTCATAGTTGGATCCTAACCTTGATATTATATCTTGGGTTATTCTATTAAGGTATCTTGAAATCTAACTAAAACTTTCTTTCTTTTCAGATGTCTACTCCTGGAAACACTTCTGCTTCGTCCTCCTCCAACCAAAACTTCTCTTTGCTCAATATTGCTCCAAAGTCGTTATGGATGGCTCAAACTATAACGATTGGATGCGCAACATCAAGATGGCTCTTCGTTTCGAGAACAAAGAATATGTTCTTGAAAAGGAGCTCAAAGAGCTTGATGAGAATGAAGCTACTCCTGAAGATCTTGCTGCCTACAAGAAAACATTACGATGATGCTACCAAAGTGGCATGCATCATGGTGGTGGGCAATGTCCCCAGAACTGCAGAGGTACTATGAGGACTACTGGCCTTTCGAGATGAACAAGGACCTTATGGAAAAGTACCATAAGCGAGCTCGTCAAGAAAAGTTCGAAGTAGTCAAGTCACTCATGGCTTGCAAGATGAAAGATGGGAGTCGGTTGTGTCACATGTGCAAAGAATGCAACGCTACATAGAGCGTTTGGTCAAGCTCAATATTCACTTTGATGAGGAATTGGCCATTGACATGGTCTTGAACTCACTTCCTGAATGTTATGGTCAGTTTATTCTAACTTACCATTGGAACAATACTGAGCAGACCTTGGCCCAATTGCACAACTTGTTGCAGACAGCTGAGGCAGGGATGAAGGGTAAAAGTATACCCCTCCACACCTGCGAGTGCCCCTGTTTTGGCTATTGGACAGGGAAAGGGGAAAAAAAAAAGAGGAAGGTCCTCCCAAGCAAAACTGGAAGAGCAAGGCTCAAGCTGGGTCATCTAGTAATGGCCCAAAGGCTAAGCCCAATGGTTCCACTCCCCATGTTTCTGATCCAAAAGAGGCAGTTTGCTTTTACTGCAACCAAAAAGGGCATTGGAAGAGATCTTGCCCACAATATCTGCAAGATATCAAGGATGGCAAAGTGAAGCCATCTTCGGCAGGTATTTACACTATTTCTGCTAATAACTCATTATCTTCTCGTTCATGGGTCCTTGACACAGGATGTGGTTTTCATATCTGTTCTGATTTGCAGGGTCTAAAGGAAAGTGAGGAGATAGAGCGAGGAAGGATAAACCTGATCATGGGAAACAGAAAGTCTTCACCAGTAACCAAGATCGGAGTTTATCAGCTTCTGCTTAGTAATGATGTTAGATTAGATTTAATAAATGTTTGCTATTCGTCTGAGATGACGAGAAACATTATTTCATTTCATGCATTGTTCAGACAAGGTTTTACATATTCTTTTAATGATTTGAATGGTTCAATTTCTGTTTATAAGAATGGTGTTTTATGTTTGAAGCTTGCCTTGTAATGGTGTGTATGAAACAGTGACTTGTGTTGATAGCCTAGGAAATAGTGTACTTAATATTGACTTGTCTAATAGTGTAGACAAGGCATGCTTGTGGCATTGTCGTCTTGGACACATTAACAAGAAACGCATAGCCCAACTCCAAAAGGATGGAGTGTTGGAATCATTTGACCTAAAGTCAGATGATATGTGTGAATCTTGTCTTTTGGGAAAGATGACAAAATCACCATTCACAGGGTCTTGTGAAAGAGGTGAAGGTCTGTTGGATCTCATACACACGGATGTGTGTGGGCCCTTCAGATCAACTACAAGAGATGCTAATCGATTCTATGTGGACTTTCACTGACGATTATAGCAGATATGGATATATCTACTTGATCAAGCCTAAGTCAAGAAACTTTTGAAAAGTTCAAAGAGTTTAAGCATGAAGTCGAAAATCAATTGGGCAGAAAGATAAGATACTTAGATCC